AGAGAGAGAGAGAGAGTGTGTGTGTGTATATATATATATATATATATACGAAAATGAATTTTTCATACCACAAGCCTTTTATTTTGAAAAAATCATAAATAATGACGAATATATAAATGCTTTAAAAATGGAAATTACAAGGAATTAGTAATGTTATAAATAATTACAATGAAAGAATAAATTTTTTTTATGAATATTATTACCCAACTACTTTAGGATAAAATAACAATAGTAAAAATAGCTTCATTAAAAAACATAGAATACCTAGACTTACAAATTAATATAGAAAAAAGATTCCAAAGGGTAAAAGTAGACAATATAATTAAGTGTAATTTTGACAATGAAAATCATTGCTTACATACAAAAGACCCTCAATATAATACTTTAATAGATTTAATAATAAATCTCAGTGAAAAAATAAAAGAATCAAATAACAAAATTCTAAAAATATTAAGTGAACAAAAAGAAACGCAAAATAAACAAAAATAACTTTTTAGTAAGATAGAAAATAATTTAGATTATCTCAAGGAACAAGGAGTAGATTTAAGTAAAAAATTAAACGAGTCAAAAAATAAATCTAAAGAAAAAGTTAGTAATACATTGATAATAAAAATAGAAGAAATAAAGACAGAATTAGCATAAATAAAAGAAATAGTTCTTTCATGATAGATTTAGTAGGGTCAGAGACATAAAGAGAAGCGATAAAATTAATAGAAAAAAGAATAGCCCTTCCATCAGATTATAAAGATTTTAGTCCATCTTCAAAATCAGATCAAATTATTATAAAACAGAACAATATAATAATATCACTTTTATTACAACTACATAATAAGATAGATAAAAACTTTAAAGAAAAAGTAGAAGGTAAAAATATAAACACAGCTGGAATAGAAGAATTAATAGAAAAGTTAAATAAAATAGAAATTACTCCTCAAAAAGAAAAAATAATTAAAAAAACAGAAAAATGGATATTTTTCCAACTAGACCAAGAGATAGAAGACAAGACAGATCAAGACCAAGTTACTCCTAGAATATGATAAGTAATAATTTTTTTTCAAGAATATTAAATAGAAAGACAAAGGAAGAAAATAATCAACAATTAGAAGAAATAATAGATACAGATAAAGATATACAAAGCTTCCAACAAAATCAATTAAATTTATTGAATCCACAAGTTTTATATAATACAAATTCAAAATCTCCACTATATAGACATTCTAGAGAAGAACAATTATCAGTATTAGGAAAGAATTATGTATCTCTACCACTCATAAACTCTAAATTTGTAAAAGAAATAAAGCATGTTAAAAAAGACTTAATGCATATAGGATTAATAGTTATAGGAATTAAAGGATTAACTAGAAAAAACTTAGGAACAAAGACATTAATGACAATATATGATGATAGATGGTCAGACATAAAAAGGCAATTATAGGATTAAGAGAAGTAGATATGACTAATAATCGAGGAATTTTCTACATAAGTCCAGATTTTATGATGAATTTAAATGAATTTGGAACCCAAATAAGAATAGGAATACAAACTAAAGGATATGACGAAATGCATAGTGGAAAGAATTTATTAATGTGTGTCGGATTTTTAGGAAAAATGACAGATAATAGTAACACTAGATTTAAATTACAAATAAAAGATGTAGTAGAAGTAATGGAAAATAAAGGGATAAAATTAATAAAACCTATAAAAAT